ATCTATCTATCTATCTATCTATCTATCTATCTATCTATCTATCTATCTATCTATCTATTGTATCTAAAACTGTGTAGATTCATTATAACAGCATGTTAAAGAGTTTGAGTCCTATTAGCGACATAAAAGTTTTTCCTTTATCAAGCAAAAGTATTTGATTTTGAGTTTTACTAGGCCTGGTTTTTCCATCTCTAAAGCTGCAGTTCTTGTCGATCACAATGTCAATATCGATCAGAGGCAATCTAACAATGAAGCAGTGTTAAACCAGCAACATGGCCAAGATGACTGATGCATGTGGGCAGCAAAGGCTGCTACATGTGGTGAGGCTTTAATGAGGCACTGCGGCTCAGACTGCTGAAGAAGCTACTGCTGGTTCTGATAGAACGCCTGGCAGTTGTTGTGCATGGGACTGCACAAAAACAAAGCCGGATTTCTGTGCTGTGGGAGGCATCAGATGTCCCCACTGCAGCCAAAGAGTTGTTGGTTCAAACCCCGATACTGGCTTTCAATGTAATTTCACTAATTAACCAATGTTTTTGTCAAAGTGACCAATTTGCATTATCTTGCCCTTTAACCAATATAGATTGGTTAAAACACAACCAAACTAGATGTTTTTTTCATCCAACAGATCTGTTTTAGGGCATATGATAGTAATTATGTGGAAAGTATTGTCTTAAAATCTGTCAAAGATTTCTTACAAGAATGTTCTTCAGTGTTGTTTTGCTCAAAAATGTCTCTATCTAACTAGCATGAAGAATATAAGAATTTGTACTTTTATTTTACCAAAGTACAAGGCATTTAGAATGCAGAACCATTGTTTTCTTCAGATGACAATCAGTCATTATTCATTTCTCTTAGTAATAACACTCTAAAAATGCCAGTGATGTGCTGTATTAAAGTCTAAAACAAGTATTTACTAGTCTGGAATTTCCCTCAGCTTCCTAGATTTTAGTAAATGGCTGTTAGCATGAATAGTGAGGGTCAGGCAGGATATTTGAAAACAAACTAATCCCTTTTGAAAGAACTGCGCTCTTTAGAATTGCTTGAAAAGGCGAGCACACATAAAGAAAAACCAGGCGCAGAAATAGTTCAGAACTGCAAACATGCTTTGGTTGTTTCAGCTCTAGTTTAAGATAAATGCTGCAACCCACCATGAAAGGAAAGTGTTTATCCTCTTATACCAGTAGTTAGGTGATCTAACAGCCTCATACTTTTTATTTTTTTGGCAATAAGGTAATGTGTAAACATAAAACAAATTAGGGAGAAAGGGTAAAGGTGACTGGAGACGCCATTTCTATGAGGAAACGATTGTTATCACACAAACCTTTGTACTTTTAGAGCATATGCATTCATCTTCTGTATCGCTTACTCACAGCCTCATTTTTCACATGAAACCAAAGATCATGCAACTACCTAGAGAATACTTCTGCTGCATGCAGATATAACAGACTCTTCAGTCATCTGTCCAGGTGCATGTTTATCTTTCATTGAAGGATCAAGAGCAGAAAATTCAAAAACAAGTCCAATTTATATAACAAGAGAAAAACCCTAGTCAAACTTTTGGACCTACATACATAGAAAAGCATTAGTCATTAAGAAGGGACACTGGGTTGCAGCAAAGGAAAATTACAATATGTAAGCAAAAAAAAAGTTTATAAGAAAAATGCCTATTAAAAAATACAGCCCCAAATTGCCATTTAAGCATAAAGATATCTTCTCAACAGTAACACTCCATCTTAGGTCATGCTTTTACAGCCATCAGGAGCTGTTCCTCTTTCTGCAGGATGAGAATCAAGCTTCCAGTTAAAGCGAAGGTGACAGCCGCCCTCCCTTCTCTCTGCCTGTCACCGTCTCCCTCTCATCAGGCGACTGCCAGCCCGTCAGATAGGCCCTAGAGGATGCTGCAGATAGCCTGAGCCGCTGCAGACGCTTGGACTGGAACATTTCACACGCTCCCACAAGTGCATGTAAGTAGGCTTAAGGTGGATCACTCTTAAGAAGGGGTCTTAGGTGGTGAGGGGATGATGTGTCAGTGCACCCCAAAACAATTCTAGAGTTTTAGGTTTCACATAATACTGTAAAGTGGTATCTGCTGAGAAAAAAATTAAAATGCTAAAATAATATTCTGTAGTGTTTAATCCGTGGTTTTGTTACACAACCACCTACCTGCAGAGTGAGAATTATATCAAAGCAAATATATTTAAGAACAGTTTTAGCGCAAATTTCTCTCATCTTAACGGTGCATTCGTACAGGAAGATTCTTTGTTTAAAACCCTAAAAGGACTTTATTTTGTCTAGTAAGTTTTCCTCCACATTGTACTTTTTGAAGTGAACCATAACTTGTAATCAAAGATGTGACTTTCTTTGTTCCAATTGGACAGATGTGACTAGAGCGGGATAGAGTACTGATCCAAACGAGACAATCTTTAATTGGTTAGAGCATTTAATTCTGTTTCTAATTTTGAATTGGTGTTGGTAAAGGAGGCTACCTACATGCCTGAAACACATCCTCCTGGCAGCAGCGTTGCAAAGCAAAATACAGTGGATCAGGCATTGCTTTAATGAATATTCACTATTGCTACAGACGCTGCTGCTGTGGCAAAAAGCTGTATGTTTCCCTCAGTGGGATCAGTCCATCAGTCCATTTTTAAGCATCTATTCACCTTTTAAAATGGATCTGTTTCTGGATTTTAAGTCCAGACCAGGAATCTCCTTAACCCCTAGAACCCG